TTATTATAGAGTATTATTATTTATTTATTTTATATATTATTTATTATAATTTTAAATTTAATTATATATATTATTATTTTTATTAATAATTATTATTTTTATTATTTTTAATATTTATAATTAAATTTAAACATTAAATTTCCAAATATTTGTACTACCATGTTCAAATAAAGCTGTAACATTAAATTGAGATAATTGAACTTTTTTAATTTCTGAATCAGGTCTACTCCAAAGTTCACCACAACATACATTTAAATTACGAGGATCCCAATAGGAAATTCTTGAACCACCACCACATAAAATCTTTTTAGGTTCTACATCGAATGATTTAACATTGTCAACAATTCTTTTGATATAAAATGGGCCTGTTCTTTCATCGAAAAATCTAACAGTACCATCTTTACTTGATGCTATAACGATATCTTCTTTTGAAAGAACTCTTACAGAATAAATTTCATCGGTGTGACCAAGGAATGAAATTACTTTTTTACCAGTATTTATATCGTATAAATTTACAGGACCATTTGAACAGCCAACTGCAACTCTATTTGTATGACTATGAGTAGCGGTAATTTGATCATCTTGAGTAATTGATAAACAATGAGCACCAGTATTTGCATCAAATAAATCCATAACTGTATCGTAATCTTCAAATTCTGATTGTTCTTCGTTTGAATCATAATGAACAACTACATGAGACCCTTCATAATTTGATGACATGCCTGATATTTTCCAACGATCATTTGGTATTTTAGGATTTACAATTGATATTTCCCTAGTAGTTGACATTTCTCTTAAATTATAACGAATTAATTTATTATTTGATAAACCTGAATAAACCAATGAAGTTCCAAGTTGTTTCCATAAATGAATTGATTTTGCTGATTCTTGGGGTATATAGTTAATTTTTAATGGCTTACTTGTTTTTATATTACTAAAATCTATCATATAAGTTTCACCTGTACTATAACCTGAATAACATCTATCACCGTCTAAAAATGTTGATGTAATAGTACCTTCACTTGCATTTGGTATTAAAGCAAATTGACTTGGTGAAATACGATATGATGCAATTGACATTAATGAAATTCTACTTTTATTTGTTGAATTTAATTTTTGTCTATTATTATTATTATTATTATTATTATTATTTAAATTATTATTATTTAAACTATTATTATTATTAATATTAATATTTGGACCATTATTAAGTGGTTGTGTATTATAAATTTTACTAATTTGCCATAAAACTTCCATTCTAATTTTTAAAAAGAAATTTTTTTTCCATTGTTGTACAATTGTTTCATAATTTGTTTCTTTACTGAGGAAAAAAGTAAGTGATGGATTATCAAAATTTATATCTGTTGGTGAATAAAATTGAAATTCTGTTTTAACATAACTATCCCAAAGATTCTTTAAATTACAATTCTTATTATTATTTATATTTGTATTAGAAGGTTCACCAAAAATATTTACATAAAGACGGTACCATAAAATATCACTTTCCGCCATTGTTTTCATATATTTACATGTTCTTGATACTTTACATAATGCTCTATGATCTAAATGTGATAAAACTGTAATAATAATTTCGTGTGGTAAACAAAATAAATTTGTATTTTCCATATGATCACCTTCGGTTTGTTTCTTATAATTATTATAAAAAAACTTACTACTGTCACTATTAATTGATGGTATAAATGGTGGTAATAAAATTGAATTATTTATATAACTTGATGAAATTAATGGTGAAAATAATAAATTTTTTGGACTTGATTTTGGTATTGGTAAAAAATTTTTAAATTGTTTAAACTGTTTAAAATTTTCTTCTTTTTTTTCTTCTTCTTGTTGTTTTTGAGTTTCTAATGTTACACTATTTCTTTTCTTTTTTGATTTTAAATTATTTTCTAAATCATTAATAATATCTTGATTTTGAACTCTTTTATTTTTAAAATTATAATTTTCAATTTGTTCGTCCTGTGGTGGTGATGATGGTGATGATAATGAATAATCTAATGGTGATGATGGATATGATGAAATTGGTGAATTTGGTTTTGATATTGTCGTTACTGTTGATGAGGATGATGATCTTGATCTTGATACAAATTCAACTAAATCGTCAGAACTACCAATTGAAATTGAACTATTATTTAAATTATTATTTAAATTATTATTATTATTATTATTATCTATTATAATTTGATCATCATTAATTTTTGGCAATTGTTTATTAAAAATATCTTTTTCAATTGATTCACTAATTGTTAAAAATTTAATTGAGTCCAAAACTTGAGTTTCTTTTGAAAATTTTGAATAAATATTGTCAATTATATCTGTAAATAAATATATGATTTTTAAAATAGTTGGATCTTCATAGCTATCTTTGGTTGGTGATGATGAACTGAATGATGATTTAATTAACATTAAAATATCCAATGAACGTTGTGGAACTTGATTTGATTTTAAAGATTCTAAATCTGCTGGATTTAATTTATCTCTCCAGTTATCTGGATTAATATAAAAGTAGGTGGTAAACTGACATTCATCACTTTTGAATTTTAAATTATTAAAAATAAACATAAATATATCACCATTTTCTCTTTGCTCTAATAGGAAATAACCTGCGGTATTGTATCCATTTTGTAAATTACATTTAATTGAATAAAAAGGTATATCGTATTTGAATTTACTTGAGATTACTGGACCCCCACCTTTGAGAGTTGTAATTTTATCTTGTAATGTCATATGGTAAATGAATGGATCCCACTGAAAATCTTCTTCAAACAAAAAACCAGCTAAATTCTTTGGATCAATTGAAACTTGATATTTAGTTTTGATGAGGATTGGTGATTTAGATGAACGATCATAATAAACGCATATATTACTTAACTTTGATGGCAATGAATTCCATTGAGCCTTCTCATCTAAATCTTTAAAAAAACCCATCCATTCTTCACGAGTTTTCTGTTGTCTGAAATTTACATCCAGTGATGGCTGTTGTTGCAGCTTTCTTGAAATGTTGGGAATATAGTTACTTTGATTTCTTTTATAGTTTTCCATTGTTTTTTGATTTTGTAATTTATTTCTTATAAATTTGATTTTATATAAAAGGTTCATTAACGAGATCTTGGGTGCTAGTGGTGTTAAAATATAATCTGTAATTGATTTACCTTCTCCAAAGTCAAATGAACATATATGATTTGAAAAACAACTATTTATTTGATTTCCGTTTTCGTCAATACTTGTAAATGGTTCAAAAATATATCCAAATATTGGCATACCACCTCTAATAAAATCTTTTGATTTTGGGCAACCAATAAATTCATTATAATCTCTTGAAATTGTAAAATATGAACCTTTTCTAATTGGATGTTGACCTGAAATTCTAAAATAAATAATAAAAAAAAAATTTTAAAAAAAAAAAATTTATTTTTAAAAAAAATAAAAAAAATAAAAATAAAAATAAATATAATTAATATAATTATTATAATTTCTAAATTTAGTTTTAGAGACTTGATTATTATTATTATTATTATTATTATTATTATTATTATTATTATTATTATTATTATTATTATTATTATTTTTTTTTTTTTTTTTTTTTTTTTTTTTAAATTTTGATAATTACTGTAAAATTACACAATCTCTTGATTTTATAAATAATGACATATTTGTATACATATGTAATAATAGTATATCATATTTTGAATATGGAATATTTAATTTTTGGGCTTTTTGTTTATCATTAGTTGTAAAATAATAGACTATTTCAAAACGATCTAAATAACGATCCCATTTAAATCTTGCTAACCAATCTGAAACATCCAATGCCGCCACATCAGGATTAACATCTATAATTTGATTTCTTGATAACAATGAACTACCAATAGTTGTTGCATTTGGGTATTCTGGATTAACATAAGGTTTTGACCAAATACTAATTTCTGATTCTTCTTTTGAAACAAATTTCCATTCGTCTGAATTTAATTCACTTTCGAATCTCTCTAATAACCCTAAACCTTCTAAATAAATTTCTAAAAGTTTATCCAATTCATCTTGATTAAAGGTTGTACCAATAAAACTATTATTCTCTAATTGATTTGGATCTTTTAAATCATTTGGTAATTTTAAACATCCATCATAAATATTAAATGATGGTTTAAAATCGTTATTATTATTACTAAGATTATTATAATCAATTTTATTATAACTATTATCTATACTATTATTATTATTTATATTACTACTATTATTAAATGGTTCTACTATTGTATTATCTAATATATCATTTAAACTTTTCATTTCTATTAATTTTTTTTTAAAAAAATTTTAAAAAAATAAAAATAAAAAAATTTTAAAACAAAATAATAAACTTAAATAATAATAATTATTTTTATAAAATGAATTTATAAAAAAAAAAAAAATATTACTATTATTGTTATTATTATTGTTATTATGATTATTTTATTTTTTTTTATTGTTGGGATTGTATTATTTTTTTACTTATTTATTATTATTATTATAATTATAAAATATTTTTTAATTTTATTAACCTTTTTTTAATTTTTTTTTTAATTTTTTTTTTGAAAATTTATTTTTATCTTGTTGTTAGATTGTTGAACACTTGTGTGTGTGTTTTTGTGTTTTTTTTTTTTTTATAAGAAAAAGATATTTTTAAAAAAAAATAAAAATTTAATACAAATAGACCATTGCCAAAAAAAATAAAAATCTATTTTTAAAAAAAAATAAAAATATTAGTTTTTTTAAGAATATTAATGTACAACAAAACAAATATTTTTAGTTTATTTATTTATATATATATAGATACAAAACAATGAAAAAAT